TTTTACTGGTTTACATTCATAGCGCCATTTTCAGAGCTCTTAGATGTTCTTCTGAATTGGAATGTTTTAACGTTATGTTTGCATCAGGGTGCTAAGATTGTAAAGCAGGTGTATTCTGTGCTCCCTGTTTATGATAAACTTGTCCCTGCGCTTCTTAATGGTGGTGTGTGGAACCTTTCAAAAACATGCAACTTTACACCGGGAATTCCAATTGGACCTATGTTGGCAAAACCAACAAAGGGAGTCTCCGAGATCTTAAATAAATTCCAGGGTTTGGAATTTACTTGTGAATACAAATATGATGGGGAACGTGCCCAGGTGATTGAACGAACAACTTGATAAATGTGGTTTCTGCTGCTATTTACATATTTCATGTGGCATGGCTTCACTCTCCTTATGCAGATTCATTACATGGAAGATGGTTCAGTTGAGATCTACAGTCGAAATGCTGAACGGAACACTGGAAAGTTCCCTGATGTTGTTCTCACGGTATCAAGGTAGAGTGACTTGGCAGTGTGTGATTTTTCCATTTCATCCTTCATTGTATTGTTTTTCATTGATTTTTTTATTGAAACCAGTTGCAGTATGTTGGATATGTTGAAATACTTTGCTCTTGACCCTCCTGCCACCCATTTCTGCCTTCATTGTTATTCTTTAAATATTCCATTAATTTTTTTTTAATTTACTTCATTTTTCAGGATAAAGAAACCATCTGTAAGATCGTTTATTTTGGATTGTGAACTTGTTGCTTATGATCGTGGAAAACAGAAGATTTTGCCTTTTCAGGTACATTAACCTTAGTATATTTGTTATCTGGTTGTTGTCATGCGACAGGATACGTTTGTCTATGGTTTTTTCCTTTCTAATCTTATATATGGATTGGTTCCGTAATAATATCTACTTTTGGCTTTTTAATATCTTTGTGCAGCTTTTATGCCATAAAAAGTGGATTCAAAAATTCACATGAAACTACCAGAACTTGGAAGATTCAAACGACCACGCAAGAACGTCTGAAATCACTTTCTTTGCTACTAAACTATAAAAATACTTCTAACCACATTCACCATTCTCCTTTTCTAGGAACCTACGATTTTTTCCTTTTTGGTTTTCACCTTAAGTTCCGCCGCAACTAGCCATCTCAAACTTTTCTTTTCAGGGCTGTTTTAAAACTACTTTTAGTAGACATCATCTTCCTATCACATTATTCTCTTGTCATTATCTTTAACATCTAGAGTCACTGCCGAAGTACCACTGACCTCTGAACTTTGTGACAGATTCTGAGTACACGAGCTCGCAAGAACGTGGCCGTGAGCGATATTAAGGTTGAAGTGTGTGTATTTGCTTTTGATTTACTGTATCTCGATGGTCAACCACTTATTCATAAAGAACTTAGCGTTCGTCGAGAGGTAGAAATTTTGCCCTGCGTTTGTCAGTTTCAGACTCTTTCCTTCCTTCTTGTGTGCGTGTGCTTGCTCTACAACTTCTGTTGATGGTCTATACTGTTTTCTCTCTCACGTTCCTTCCTTCTCGTGTGTGCATGCATGTGTGCTGCACAATTTGCATTGATGATTATCAACATTTCAGCTTTGCTGTGTTTCTTAGCCATTTTATGCTATTTATTTACGTTTTTTTTTATATTAAGTATAGTAAGGTCATTTTTTATGACTTATTATAAGTACTGTTTCCTGTGACGTGGAACTTTCACCAATTCACTTCGCCTCACATAGTTTTAGCGTTCAAAATTATCTTTATTTGGAAGAATGCTTTTGGAGAATGAAGAACATGATTAACTGAGTAGACTGATGGATGCATGTTGTTCTCTCTTATAAAGATGTTTGCCCTTGTCTAAGATTGCAATACTGCGGTCCAAATGTATTGCAACTTGGCCATGAGATGTTCTTTAACATGCTTTGTTTTGGTGTCTGCAAATGGCTGTGCCATTTATAACTCAGGTTCTGTACTTTGCAGCATCTCTATGATTCATTTATTGAAGAAGCTGGATATTTTCAATTTGCCACAGCAATAACAACAAGCGATCTTGAGGAAATACAAAAATTCCTTGATGCATCTGTTGATCAAAGGTGTGTTACTTTTTCCTGGTTGGCCGGTCTACAAGGTTTACATTTTATCTTATTGTGTTTTCCCTTACATTCTTGAATGACTAATTTATTCTATGTGTTCTATTAACTAATCTTTGTTTGCAGTTGTGAGGGTTTAATCATCAAAACATTGAACCGGGATGCTACTTACGAGCCTTCCAAGAGGTCACTTAACTGGCTAAAACTGAAGAAGGATTACATAGACAAGTAAGTGCTTCGTGTAGTCTGTATAAATGTTGTATGATAATGTCAACTGAGCTTTATGGATGCCCATCCATGCCTGTATACTGCAGCATAGGGGATTCACTTGATCTGGTACCAATTGCTGCTTTCCATGGCCGTGGGAAGCGTACAGGTACTATAACTGGAAAGTAGTTTTAATAATAAGTTGCAATAATTGCATATTGCCATTATTTAAAATAATTAGTTTAAATCAAATGGCTCTCTCTTCCAGTAATATCCAACCTACAGGTGCACAAGCATGTATGCGTGTCACACGTGTATACGAATTTGTGTTATGTTGTTCTTATCCCTCATACATATTTCTAGGTGTCTATGGCGCATTTCTCCTTGCCTGTTATGACAATGACAATGAAGAATTTCAAAGCATTTGTAAGATTGGTAAGGATAAGGAATGCTTTAAGTTTCGTTTTCTCACTGCAACTGTCAGCGCTTGTCCAATTTTTTTTTTTCTATCTAATAATAAGTTTTGATGACTCGTAGGAACTGGTTTTTCTGAAGCAATGCTTGAGGAACGTTCTGCTAGTCTCCGTTCTAAAGTCATTCCAGAACCAAAGGTCTGTCGTCTAATTCCTATTATATGTGAGCAATAAGGTTCCCTGTATGATTCTAATTTTTAATTCAACATTTTCTTGTTAATTTCAGTCATATTATCGGTATGGAGATACAATCAATCCAGATGTTTGGTTTGAACCTACTGAGGTAAAGTTATGACTTTTTCCCCGAAATCTCATTTATGCTGTCTTTTGTTACTCCTGATGCCTCTTTTCCTCTCCTTGCTGTATGTTTGTTTTGTAAGCTCATTCCCCTTCAACGGTAGTATTTAAGGGTGGCGTGAGCTTTTACACCCCCTCTTTTTTGGTATTGTATCTGTTGTGAATTTAAGGTATTTGTTGAAAATAACATGAAAAAAAAGGCTTTGAAAGATATTTCGAAATCAACAGATTCAGTTTAGACTCACATTGCAAGTTGAATGCCACTGGAGTTCTCTTCTTATTCATCCTTTCCTAATGATCCTCTTTCAGGTTTGGGAGGTTAAAGCGGCAGACTTGACTATCAGCCCAGTTCATCGTGCAGGAGTCGGCATCGTGGATTCCAACAAGGTTGTATCTGTGTGCAAGTTTCTCTTTTTAATTTTCTCCATCATTATTCTTTAATTCTTTCTGTAGTTCCTTCTTTTTTCTAATCATTCATGATTTTTTGTTTAAAGGGAATTTCTCTTCGGTTTCCACGTCTTGTTCGTGTAAGGAAAGACAAAACTCCAGAGGAGGCCACATTGTCTGAGCAGGTGAATATTATTGCATAACCACATTGTCTGAAAGGTTTTCTGGGTGCATGCATGGAATTAATGGGAGGAAATGGCACATAAGAAGTATAAAGGGAAAACTGACGTATCCCTAATATTTAAAACATCTATAACTCTTTCAACCTCTAGGAGTATATGCTCTAGTTCCATGGTTTTCTCGTACTGTTCTTGTAAAACTTCTAACTATCTGCATACATTCCTTTTAAAAATTAGGTTGCCGACATGTATAATGCTCAGAAACTCAACCACCAAAACAATCAAGATGACAATGATGAAGACTGAGGACTGAAGTTTTAATTCTTTCGAAACGTGTTGCTCTCTTGATTTTCGAACGGATAATTATTGGCAAATTACCATGTCTGGTCATGGCGCCATGGCACGTGTCGTGTCTGCTTTGGCCTTGGGGGGTATGTTTCAGGTTCAACCGATCAGATTTTAACTGATCTCTAATATTCCTTGCAATGCATAAAATGTTTTCCTGCTGTTGAGCCAAGAGTTTCATGGGCCCACATATGTTCTCAAATCACCTTTAACAATGTAGACGAAAATGTGAAATCAATTTTTGCGTTTCTTCTATCTCGACACTTGTAGTACATAACAAATTTTTGGATATTACATGAGCTGTTTCTCGTGTCACCTTTTATCGTTATAATTGTACATTATGCTCCTTTATAGGGGACACTGGTATTGCAAATAGAAGAGTATTAAGCTCCATATGATATGCTTGTAATAATCATCGCAAGTTTATTTATGGATTTTAGTAGGCCATTCCATGATGAGCCTGGACTTTGGCTTGAGAAGATCTGTCCAAATGAAGAGAACACAACATCCATAAGCCTTGTTCCGTATGATTGTTTGATCAAAGCAGTCATGACAAGTGGCCAAGCTGGGTATACTGTGTAGTCTTCCCTGTTGACGGGGGCAGAGACAGCCCGCGCAATCACATGAGGTTATGTGGAAAATGGCCTGTTTGCTTCGTCTTCTGTAGCTATTTTTGGTCAACTAGCAGAGATTTCTGGGAAACTTTGATCTCCTTGTCCTCATTTGGTAATGCTTATGCAATTTTTAAGGGTTGGTATGGTTCTGCATATTATCTGATGACTCTTATGAATGAAACTCCTATTGGTACTTAAAACATGAGATTTTCCCCCAGATTTCAGCTGGGCAAGAACAAGAAAGCGAAGAACCAGGTCAGTCGTAGCTTCTTTGATCATGCGGACTGTCCCCATCCTTTCCCAAAGATATAGAAACTCAGATATTAGATATGAACACATGTTTTTATGCTTTTTCTTTGCGTTGTGGGGTTAATGGTTTTGTAAGTTGTGTTTTTGCTGTGTAATCTCAGACAAGCAATCAGACACGAGAAATCTCAGAATTGGAATTGCAACTTACATGGCTAAAACAATTCTGGAAGAATTTGACCCCGTTTCTCAGACGGAGTATGAAAAAGAAAGACTTCACTGAGTCAAAGTGATGACAGCAGGGGGAGGGTAGAGGGTAGAGGGTAGAGGGAGACTTCTGTTGCAGATGCCTCGAACGTAGAAGGAGAGAGTTTCTTACCTATAACACAAACCTCTGTACAAGCACTAAAATCGGCCACTAACCCAATTCTCTTTTCATCCTCATTAGCTTTTTACTAATATTAGACTATGATTATGTTTTTGCTGCTCTTTGTTCCTGTTGTGGTCAGCAGGGAGCAAGCCTTTGAGACTTCGTCTCTGTTGGAGAATCAGAGCCTTCCAAGAAAGCCCTTTTCCTGCTTCCACAGTTGGAAATCTGGCTGCTGCCATTGAAGGTGCCTAGAGAATCTCGGATCATCTGTGGCGGAGGTGTCGAAGGAATAGTCACCGGAGGAATTTCAAACGATTCAAGTGGTGGTGGTGGATGTCTCCACTCAGGCAGAGGTCCAGCTACAAGCAGTGTCTGAAGCAGAGGACCTGCTTTCATCACTGCTTCCAAAAGCTTGCCTTTTTCAGGCAATGGCTTCTCTGTAACCAAGTCCACCGCGGTGGGCAGAGCTGGAGGGAACTGTGGCGGCGGAATTGGATCAATAGCAGGAGATGAGACAATGCTTTCTTCACAATCAGACGAGGAGAAGCCATTGATGGAATCAATACCTTTCTTTGGTTCATCTTCAATGCTGGAAACTCCTGAATGTGGATCTGTTCGTTGTTGAAGTAAAAACTTCTCAATGAATAGTTTCTGAAACTTTTCATTGGCTTCATCTCTCTCTCTAATGGCTCTGCTAAAAAGATCTTTGAGATGAATCAACTGTTCATCTCTTTTTCTCAGCTCCTCTTGAACTGCAACTCTCGTCTGTTCCAGCTCCAGAGTCGCACAAAAAAGCGAATGCCTCAATTCTTCAATGTTCTGTTTCGAAGCAAAATCATCATCACAACCATAAAAATCACAAATGGAAACAAACCCAGAAGCCAATTTCTGCAAACAATTTAAGGTTTCTTTACCTTTCCTTGGAAAAAGTAAGCCCAACCCAGAAGAGCACTGCGTTGGTTCTCCATTACTGAACTCCAAAAGCTTCAGAGAGAGAAAAAGAACAGAGAGAGAGAAGGAAAGAGAGAGAGGAATGCGGTTTCAGACTGACAGTTGAAGTTCTTATAAGAAATCCATAACTGACACTGTTTTCTTTTGACAGATTTGTTGCTTTTTGTGAAGAAAAAAGAAAGCAGAAACCGCCAAGAACGTAGCAGAACCCAATTCCTGACATCCTATGATCCTATCGTCCTGTCTCCGACTCCCACAGTTGCACAAGGAACAATTCGCTAATTACAGGTTTAGAGATGAATTTACTTTTCCTAATCTCAATTAACACGTTAATCCTAACTCATCTTTGAATTTTCTCACACGTGGGCTGCGTGCCTTCAAATAAATCCAAACTGGGTTTGTTTTTATTCCTCTCTTTCTCTCAATTAATGGTTTTATCACTTTGAATCATGTAATTTGCGGACCATGAATTTTCTCATGCAATTTTTTTTATTTAATTTTAATTTTCTTAATTACTACTCTAAATTCTAATTAGGCAAATCCTACTCTATATTAGCAAAAGCCAAAAAAAAAAGGTAATGCCTCGCTCACTTTCCATGTAGTAATTTTTCAGTTTCTACTTTGACGGTATCGTATCATTTAATATTACGGTAAATCTTCTCCCTATTGTAGATTTTCGCTACCGTAAATCTTGCAGTAAAAAAAAGCTATTATAGATGATCGAATTTAAATTATAAATTTAGTCTGTGAATTTATTTAAATAGTTAAAATAAGATTAATAGAAGTGAATTATTATTTAGTTAATGGTTATGAATAGTGCACAACAACTTTAAAGAGGAAGTCGTATTATATAAACAAATGAAAGGTAATTAGGTAAGGATTGTTTAACATTTTCTTGAAATTTGAAGAGAATTTTTGTTTTTATTTGGTCTTAAAATTTAAATTTTCTTTCCTTTTGAATAATTCATTAAATCAGCGGTCTTCCATGCACACCCATTCCTTTGTCTCATTTAACCTAATTTATTTCTCTCTCCCTCTCACCTCTTACTTACCCATCCACAAAAAATTTAAAATAAAATTTAATGTCAAATCATTGAAGCTAAAAAAATATATTCAATTCAACTCGATATTTTTTCGGTATGAGTTGTGTTGAATTTTTGAAAAATGGATAATTTGGGTCCGTTTAGATTATTACTAAAATTAAGAATGTTTGACATTCATAACGATGGTTAGTGATGCATTTTGAGGATTGAGTTAGATTATAAACTTCAATCAGATTTCTCTGATCACCAATCAACTCAAAATTTCAAATTAGTTCGACGATTTTTTCGACACAACTCAACCCATATACACTTCTATCTTCATCTACTAAATTATACTCGAATTTGCAATCACGAACGTAGTTAAATTAGAAATTGAAATAATGTTTAATGCACCCATTTGTGAGTAAGGGAAAAAAACGTAGCAATAGCATGTGCAATGGGGATAGTGAGTGAAGATTGAGAGAGAGGTTAGGGGTTTCATTGTCAATGGCTCTATAATATATGCTTTTATCGAGAAACAAAGAGTCAAGAAGATAGCAACTTTGAGTGGTCAGAGAAAGAAGCTGGTAGCCAAACTTTCCCACCTACAAACCTCTTACAATTAACTACTTAAAAAAGTCTACATTCTCAGAAACCATCCCGCTTCCTTTTGACTAATTTAACGTCTTTTTAATCTAATTCAACTATTTAAGATATATATATATATTTCTCTCGAGACATCAGAGCCCTAAATCCTCCTACCCTTACAGTAGCCGAAGCCCCTAAAAAGAGCCCTATTGGATGACTGAGAGAATGAAATTAATTTGTCCGTAAGCTATAGGGGCGAGGTTGTTGGAAGTGAGCCAAAGTCGAACGACGGAAATTGGATGACCTGAAAAGTTGGGTAGGGTTTGGGCGAGCTGTGAGCTCACATACTATGAAACTAAAAAAAAAAAAAAAAAAAAAAAATTAACTTCAACAATCTCGTTTTAGACTCATATCGTTTAGTTTGATATTTATTTTTCTTTATCTTAATATATGGGATGTACGAGTAAGAAGTCAAACCTTGAGAATTATGTTCAAATTGATATATATATATATATATATATATATAATTAAAAATTTTGATTGGTTATTTTTAAAAGATAATAATTAAGAAATATATAGTTGCATTATTAAACTACCAAAATTTTAAATTATAATTACGATATGAAACATCATGAACCAAACATGTAAAAGTTCGGTAATGATAATCTTATTTATTAAAGTGGGACCCTTGATTATTATCTCTAGATTTAATTTAATTCTTATGTTTAAATCTATATATTATTAAAAAAAATATTTAAAATATATTATTGCGAGAATAATAAATAAATAAAGTAAAATATTGTAATTATAATTATATATATATATATATATAATTAATTAATATTTTCGATTATAAATGTAAGAAATTTTCGTGACGTATTCAAAAATTTTGAATTGTAATAGAAAAGTCATCTCACCGAGCATGAGTTGTACTCAATTTCGAGTTTTTTTTTAAAATAAAAATAGAAAAAATAGTGAAAAATAGAAAATATATGATTCCTCGACTTTATGTCCCATCAAGAAACGTAATTATCTGATGTGTTAATAACCAACACTGCGCTATCTAGCAAACCCCTACCAATGGCCTAATTGAAGCATCAAATTTAAATTTGATTTCTTAATTATTTAATTATTTCCATATTATTTCTCTATTTTTCAAATATTTTTGTCTTTTTATTACACGACAATCAACATAGTTGAATAATTTTTTTTTTTTAAATATTTTTAGTCGAGTTGTTATCAAACAATCTTTAGTTTGAAAAAAAATAAGATCTTCGAATATTCCATTAAATTATTATTATTATATCCATAAATTTAATAATTAATTTTTTTTTTTAAGAAGCGTTGGCTTGGTTTACAAGTGATGGGATTTTCCAACATAATCATTAATTATGGTACCTATTAACCATAATTTAGTACCAAATTAAATTAAGCCAATACCCAAAGATGAGACATAATTTCATCCCATTTTAATTTCTTTACAATATTATTTATTAAATATATTAAAAAAAAAAAGGACCCCGAATGTGAATCCAAACTACTAAAGAAAAAATTGATGAGTCTTTCGGGATTGTTGAATGTTGAAACCCCTTTTAAAAGCAAAAATAAAAGAATCAATATTAATCTTTATTTCCGACCATCTTAAATATCTGTGTTGGTGTCGGTTGAGGAGGAGAGCGTTCTCTTACAGGGGTATGGAAACCTCTCTTAACCAACATTTTAATAACGAAAATTTATAATAAAAAGTTTAAAGAAGACAATATTTGCTGACCATCGGACGGAAAAGGGGATATTTGAAGTAAAATGGAGGGAAAGTTGAGGCATGGAGGGTGTAAAGTCCAAGGGTGGTGGGGTCCGAATAGGTCTTAAAGTTGAGCCGCTTGGAACCCTAAGACCATCATAGAGATGCCGAACTTTATTGCAACCGCGTGGGCTCCATTCACTAACATCCCTTTCGTTTCCACCTATTCCAAATGGACCCCACACGGTTTCATTGATGCAATGTGCTAAAACTGGGCCCAACTCCGGACTCTTTCGCTTACCTGGGCCGTTCAACCCAAGTCAAATTATATTTTGGGCTTTAGTTTGGGCCGTATGGGCCGTGTAATTAGTATTTAGGGCTCGTTCAAATGGGCCGGGCTTCAACTCGATGGATTGGACTCGGTAATTCCCAATTTCTTTTAATATATTTTCTAATTTTTGAAATTATATAAATCTGCCACGTGTATGATGCAGGATTACCATAAAGCCATTAATGATTGGTTTCATGCTTCTTTAAGTTTGTTGTACCCTTCTTAGCCTTTACGCGTCTATTTCTTTTCTTTTTCCCTTCTTTTTAAAAGAATAATCCCATAAAATAAAATAAAATAAAAATGTAGATTAGTGTTATAATTAAATTAATACCCAAACCCAAGCTTTTTTTGGGTGTCATGCACACGCAAAATCAGCCATAATCTTAATTGTCTTCTCTTTGCTACCATTAATCCTTTAGTAAAGAAGGTTTGTGGCTTCAAAATTTCCAACACTACCCCTGCTTTTGTCTCGTCCTTCAAAAAAAATATATATATATATATATCGACAGGAATATATTGTGGTAAATCTAAAATTAAGAATAATTTATATTGTCAATCTAAACATAGTTTAATAATAATTGACATCAATATTTAGATTGTTCATTCATTTTTTAAATATATCACTGGCCCAATATAATGAGACTTATTCAAATTTTGAAAAGTGGCTTGTATAGTAGGTAGGTCGAGTTTAACCGAACCAGTATAAAACTTATATTTTCTAACTCTTTCCTATTTAATTTCGAAATTATTATTAAAATTTATTTATTAAACTATTTTATTGTATTAATTATCCTATTCTATTCCTTAAAAAAAATTATAATTAGAAAACTTAATAAATTTAAATATTTTTATGGTTAAAAAAACCCTATTTTATACATTTAAAAAATAAATATATTTATTTATTTTAGAAAACAAAATTCAAATATTTTAATAATAAATATCTGAGAGTATTTTCATTTACTATATTTTTTATCTCTAGCAATGATAAGCAAAACATTTCGTCTCGCTAAAAATGTGAATCTTTTTCACAAAAGAGCTATACTCAACATGGTTAGCCAAATTCGGGGCCCTTAAAACCTAAACACGGTCTCTCTTTCTAACGTCCATGTGCTTGGACAGCTCACGATTGTATATTGTAGGGTCGGTGCCCCAAAAATGTTCGAAACTTTCCAGTTCATCTCAAATGCCCTCCAAGAAATGTAAGGGTCCCTTTTTTCTTTTATCCTTTTCTCATTTCAGTTAGAATTGTCCTTAGCTTGGGGAGGGCAGGTCCTACATTTTGTTTTTCTTAAGGGACAGTTCGTCTTTTTTGTTTTAGAATCCTTGACAAAACCGAACAACTGGACCTCAAAGTCTATCCCTTTTTCTGTTTTCTTTCAAATTTGTAGGGTATGGCAACCTCATTATTGACTTATACCCGCATATATTTAAATACACGTCATTTATATTACCTTGTCGTAATGGTCGTAGACTATTTAATGTGTCCATTTTTATTATTTATTATTTATTTTTATTTTCCTCATTTTAATACGTATTTAATAGTCCCCTATGAATACCCTTTATATATTATTGGTCTCCTGTTCATTAATGAACCATCTGTATTTTTATTTATGTATGAAAATAATGAAAAAAATAATTTCACATTGATTTACTTAAACTTAAATGCAACTTATAAGTACGACGTCGTTTTGGGAAATTGATTATTAAAAATATGGAAGGGAAATAAATTTGGTGTTATTAGAAATTAATTAAGACACGTGGATTGTGGGACCCACTCCAACTAATATATTAGAGTGTAATTAGGCATTAATTAAATTTGTTTCTTCTTTAATTCAGAATTATTGTTGATTTTTAATTGGGATTTAGTCGAAATTAATGAATATTTGGCGATTCATCTAATATAATAAATAATTATCGAGATTTTATTTTATTTTAAATCTTTAGTTCTAAAATCCAACTCAGCATAATTGTTTATAAAAAGCAACTTTAAAACTCAGTTAAAAGGTTAAAAAAAAAACAATACTGTCTTTTTGAAAAGGACTATTTCATCCAAAACCAAAAGGGGTTAATTTATTTTTACCTTTTATTTTTACCATGGTTCGAAAGAAAATGGGAAAATTTAAGAGAGAGAAAGAGGAAGGTGGGGGAATATGAAAGGGTGAGCATGTGATTTCTTGCAGCTTTGCCTTGCCGTGCACGTGACTTCGATTGCAAAACAATCAAATTAGGAATGATCACATTCAATCTACCCACACATTTCTATTCATACGTTAAATTAAAATAATAATAATAAAATACGCGTTTTAAAACTGTAAGGCTAACAGTGATACATAACGTGCCAAAATAAACAATATCTATTAGTGTTGGGTTTGAACTGTTACAAATGGTATCAGAAATAGATCTCGAGTGATGTGTTAGCGAGAATGCTGGTCACCAAATGAAAATTGTGAGATCTCACATCGATTACGAGAACAAACATTACTTATATGAATGAAGAAACACCTTCCTAATAGATGTATTTTAAAAGTATGAGACTAACGGTGATACGTATCAGATCGATGGCTTGAGCTTTATTTAAAGTACAATTATTTTCTTTCATATTCAACCTTTTCATCGCGGGCGTACGTTTTATTGGCCCTTTTATTATTTTTTTAATTTCTTCGATTCAAATGGAAAATAAATAAATAAATAATTGTTAAATTAAACTGAACAAAGCTGTTTGTTTCTCGGGAAAAGCGGACCTAAAAAGAGCTTTATTGATTAAATGCATGTCCAAGATCTGCTTATTGGATTATAACAACAGCCTTGCATTTTGACTAAAAAGTACACCCTCCAAGCAAGCTTATAAAGAAGTTCACGAGGGTATTTCCGTCTCTATAAGTCAATAAAATCTTAGAAAACAGTGGACCCGTCGTCTCCGGCGATTTCTACTCTGCTTCAGACAGACAAAAGAAACTTAATTTTCTCTTCCCCTTGCCGCCGTCGCCGTCGCCGTCGCCGTTGTTCTTTTGTTATCCAAAAACGAAACCCCACCTAACCCTTCTTCCTTTGCTTCTACTTCACCGCAGACCAGAAACTGAAAGCTCCGCCCCAACTAGAATCGTTGGGCGTTGATATTAAATGAAATGGCGGAATCTAAAGCATTCCCTAGGCGGCGGGGGTTCTATGTCAAAATGAAGCTCTCTCATCACAAAAATGGCAGAGCTCAAGAAAAAAGCTTCTTCATTAGATATTACAAATGGGTTCTCTGGGTTTCTCTGTCTCTTTACTTTTTTACTTCTTATTACATTAGCCATAGCCATAAGTCCCATGGAACCGCCGCTCGGATGACCAAAACCCATGTTTCTCGAGCCCTCGTCGAGTCTTCCAATGGTCAATTGAAAGAGATGAGGGTTTTCGTGTACGATTTGCCGCCGAAATACAATGTGGAGTGGCTTTCAAATGAGCGGTGTTCGAACCACTTGTTTGCTTCGGAGGTAGCCATTCATAGAGCCCTGTTGAACAGTGATTACCGGACATTTGATCCACTTGAAGCGGATTTCTTCTTCGTCCCTGTTTATGTTTCTTGTAACTTCAGCACCATTAATGGCTTCCCCGCCATTGGTCATGCCCGTTCCCTCATTGCCTCCGCCGTGGCCCTCATTTCCTCCCATTATCCCTTTTGGAATCGCACCAATGGCTCCGACCATGTTTTTGTTGCATCACACGATTTCGCCTCTTGTTTCCATACTATGGTAAGGAATTAAGCAAACCCATATCATCAAAATGAAATTTATTGCCACATTCTTTTAATTTTAACGATTTGTTTTCAGGAGGATGTAGCCATAGCTGATGGAGTACCATTGTTCTTGAAGAACTCGATTATATTGCAGACATTTGGCGTAAACTTCAAACACCCATGTCAAGATGTTGAACATATCGTCATTCCGCCGTACATTTCGCCGGATTCCGTACAGGACACCCTTATGAAGTCGCCGGTAACTGGCCGGAGAGACATTTTCGCGTTCTTCAGAGGTAAAATGGAGGTGAATCCAAAAAATGTCAGCGGACGATTTTACAGCAAGTAAATAATTTTCACCTTTATCCTTGATTAAACACATTTCCCGAGGTTAATTTCTATTTATCTCATGTGGGTGTTTATGGGTATTGGGTTTTAGGAAGGTGCGGACGATGATTTGGCGAAAATTCAACACCGATCGGAGATTTTACCTCCAGAGGCACAGATTTGCCGGTTACCAGTCAGAGATTGTACGGTCAGTTTTTTGTTTATGCCCATTGGGGTGGGCCCCATGGAGCCCCAGGCTGGTTGAATCCATAGCCTTGGGTTGCGTGCCGGTAATAATAGCAGATGGTATCCGGTTGCCATTTCCATCGGCGGTGAATTGGCCGGAGATATCCATAACCGTGGCAGAGAAGGATATCGGTAAATTGCGGACGATTCTCGAACACGTGGCAGCTTCCAACCTTACTACTATCCAAAAGAACTTGTGGGACCCAAGGAATCGGCGGGCCCTGCTGTTCCATAATCAGGTACAAGAAGGCGACGCCACTTGGCAGGTGCTTCGTGCCCTTTCGGAGAAGCTGGATAGGTCATATAGACGATCAAGGATTTCGAAGCAATAATATAACGCCACGTAATCAGTTAGTGGTCCCCACTAAAGACGACCATCGTTCCTACGTGGATGTAGTTGAGCATAATGAAGATGGAAGACAGCTGGAGATAGTATGAAACTGGCAGCCGAGTGATGAATAGTGTATTGTATTGTTTATTGTGGGGCTCGAACCCAGCTGGGGTAATGTCCATCCAATCAGGAAGGGAGGTGAGAATCAACGTGGCGGCATAAGATTGGTTAGGGTAATCAAGCAAATATAATGGCAGGGATTCTCTTCTTCCCCTCGTGAAAATATTAATGGAAGCCCAATAAAACAAGGATGGGCGCGGCTTTGTAAAATACCGAAATAATGCAAACAAATAACTTTTTTGATTTTATACAAAAATAATATAATTTTTTATTTGTTTATTTATTATTTTAAAGGAAAAGGGGTGGAAAAAGGTGGAAAATGCAATAAATAAAGGAGGGAGAGGGAGGGTGGTGGTGGATATTTAAAAGAGAGACAGCCGAGGAGTGTCAGAGCTTTGAATTACACAACGGTGTCATTGTCGGAGTGTTAGTGGGCGGTGTCAGTCGTGGTCAGTTCACGGACTCATTCAATTTTGGAAATAACATTCTAATTTCAGCTGAACCCAAGTAGACAATTTTGGACTCTTGAAAATTTGGGTTATTGGTTGTGTTTGTGTGGCATTGGGCTGGGCTTTTTCAATGCTTTGATGGGTGGAAGGGAGAAAGTAAAAAATAAAAATAAAAAACTCCGACCTGCCGGATTCGAACCAGCGACCTAAGGATTATACTGTTGGATTGCCCACTACAGTCCTCCGCTCTACCAACTGAGCTAAGGTCGGATTTGTTTATGTTGTGGGGATTTCATAAATTAATTAATTTATTTTGAAAAGTATGGCAAATTAATTGGCATTAAATGTGGGGAATTAACGATAAGATGAGTAGACATCACTTAAATATGTGGAGCCAATAAGAAGGAATTATTTTGAAAATTGGAACCAAATTTTGGACATTAATTCTGATTTTTTATTTCTTTGTTTTTATTTGTTAATTACTTGACAAAATGGCAACTTCCCAACAAACCACTTGGAACCCAATTTCCCTTTCTTTTACTTCACTTGTCAATCCCATGATAAATCATATTGCTTTGGATTCTAATTCTTAATTTCAGTCAATTAGGGGATTAATCATAATTATTATATTCAAATATGTAATCAATTAGACGTTAACCAATTGAGTGGAGAAAGATGTCACAGTCATGCATGTCCAAGGCGTGTTGTCAATGGCCCATGACAGATATCCCAGTCTTGTTTGTCCAGGACGTGTTGTCCATGATTGCATGTCTGTTCCAAACACCTTTTACATGTTTTCATCCTAGATAGGTCGTTACCATTTTATATTGGGTCAGTACGGGGTGTATGACTGTTCACCAAAATCGTGTCTAAACTTGCAAGGGCTAAAATGCCTCAAAATGTACTATAGGGAATGATATGACTAGTTGTCAACTTCTCCGTACTCGATAGTTATATGCTGTAAGCGGTTATCTTATTCATTTATTTATTTAGAATTAGTTTTAATTTCTTATTCTAAATATTTTTCTTCCTCTATATTTTATATGCTAATTATTAATGTTTTAATTTATAATATTGAAATAATCCTAAGCTTTCATTTCTATAATTTAAATAGAAACTATAGTTTATATACGTTAAATGCAAATATATAAAAGAAAGAAAGAAAGGCCATAATATTAAAAAAAAAAAAAAAAACGCATTTATTCATTGAAATCAATTGAAAAAAAAAAAAGAAACAACCTTTGAAGCTGTTATACACCCATAACACACCGCCAATATTGTGACCATTATATTTACTATTATATAAACATTCTTAAGAAGTCCTGTTAATTTATTTTTATTTTTTTAATTTTCCACAATAATAATATCATTTTTTCTTAATTTTTTTTAAAATAATAATAATATTAACAATAACAATAATATATATACATATATACATATATATATATATATATATATATATATATATATATATATATATATATATATTTTT